GAGTAAACCTCTTTTGTGAACCACACGTGTCAGGGGAGTTTCTCTGTCGAACGGGGCAAACCTTACAGCTTCCATACGTGCTTTCCTAGAGACTAAATTCATATAATACAGGAGAGGAGGCTAAAAAAAACGGGGAAGTATGTTTTAGTGTTAATCTTTTAATTCTCCCAAGAGATACAGAAAGCCTGGTTCCTTTTTGATTTCTAATGGAGTGCCTCTGCCTGGGAAACCTAGGACAAAATCATTTATAACATTCTTCTGACATGCTGCTTGGGAACAATCGACTATTCAGGTATATCATACTAAGTCTATACAGTCCACAAATAGAGAGGTGGATTAATAAGAGTTTCTTTTCTCACGTTGTCATGGTTACCATTCCATTTTTCCCTCCCATTCTGGTGTTCCCTCACTAAAGTTAACATACCTCAAAAATAGATGCTTTTGCATTTCCACAACAGAAGGAAAGTATAGATCAGATAGAAGTCCTTGAATAAAATGCCAATATCGATTATCTATTAGATATTGAGACAGTTCTTACCTTGCAGAAATTTCCTATCCAATTAAGTAAGAATGGTAATTGAAGAATTACCTAAGAGCTAAGAGAACAACTAGGTATATTTGGAGGAGATACAGAAATAAAACCTCATACAACTCATTTCTGAATGATTTGTAACTTGCATCCTGTGCTTGGTTTATAAGATATTGTTTCTGCCATTGGGGAAAAATGATAAATTGATGAAGCAATGTGTTCAAGTGGAGATAAATCTGTTTAATTTGAGGGTGTAAACAATTTGTTCATCTAATTAATAATGCAGACAGGTGTTTGGTTTGGTTTGGTTTGGAAAAGGCTAAGAATATTTTTTTTCCCCTGAAGCATTATAATAGTGCACAATCTCTTCTCTTTTGACAATCAAAACAGGAGTGTCTACAATAGTTTATATGTTATGTGGTTTCCATTAATGTCTGTGGTATTTTAAAGAAGAACTAATAGCTGAATTTTACTCATTGTGGGTCTGCTGCAGGACTTGCCCATCATCATTACACAGGCCAGAGTGAAAATTATTATTAAAAAAAAAAAAATCACTCTCATAGTGTTATTGGAGAAACATTTTTTTTTCACCATCATCCCAGGCCTGGATATAATACACCTTCCAGCATATTCTTTTTCTGGCTGTTTCATTAGGAGAATGTTGGCCAGCTTTTGTTTCATTCCAAAAATGTGGAGAAGCCTTGAACATGTTTAAGAGTCCAGCACCTGAGACAGAGTGGGGGGAAATTGTCCTGAATGATAAGACATTTATAAGATAGAATATTCATAAAATTGCAGAATGCAAAGATAATTGTTTTTCAGTCCTTGTATTGATTTGAGAAGTGACAACTATTTCATTTGCTTTACAATATAAATTAACTATGTTCTTCATCTTCCCATTTTAGAATATGTCACTCTTCAAATACATCTAATAGATGACAATGTTCTCAGGGCAGAAGACAGCATTAAAAAAAAAAAAAAGGAGGGGGAAGTTACGATACAGTAGTTAAAGTCGACTTTGTCCTTCTTTTCCTGATCATTCCAAATTTAGTAGCCAAAACTATGAAAGGTTGTTCCTTTCTTGGAGAGGTGGGGTGGGGTTGGCAGAATATCGGGGTGGGGGAGCTGCCACTGCAGCCTGACTTTCCCAATGGGAGCACCTAAGGGCTGGTCACCCTGAGATGGGGTTGAAGTCCTGAGGGCCTGGGACAAGTATGTTATGTTTGATTTTAGTTCTCTGGTATTTTTTGATGGTTGTAGGATTTTGTGTGACTGGTAGGTGGGTGGGTGAGTGAGTGAGTGAGGTGAATGGATTATTTGTCTTGGAGTGGGAACAAGGGGTGAGGGGATAATGGGGGAGATGAGAGGGGAGGCTGGAATATCAACACCATGATGGTGATATCCCAGTGGCAGGCTACACTCAGGGATGGTGAGCTTGCTGTCTGAGAGGAATCCTGCTGTCCAGACTATAGGATCTGCCTCCCAGGCCAGGTTTCTGGATCCTTGTGGCCCCAGGCTCCAGCTACTACTGAATGCCAGGTCAGCCTGCCATAAATCTGTCCTCATCCATGACTTGATTGTGGATGAGACAGCTGACCCGCATTGTATTCCTGAGATTTTGGTGGGGCAAGAGGGCGGGGGATCCCCACTCAGAAATCTGTGCACGTGGGTATTGGATTTAGCATCAGTCATGACTCTGGGGAAGGGGTCAGTGGCAGTTTTTATCCACAAGTTGTTGTGCACTTTCAGAGGCTCTGTCCCATCAAATACTGAGTATCAGACTCTGATGAAGCTGGGGTCCAGCTGCTGTTGTCCTGACCTCCTTGCTGCAAAACATCTCCTCTGCCTGGGTTGGTGGTTGAAACCCCAAGGCTACTGCTTCTTAGAGATTTCGATTTACCACCTGGAGCAGCTCAGGAGTTCGGCTCACATGCTAGACCTGGTTTTTGTCTTGGGACATTTGAGACAAGATCTGATTCTGGAGGACATTGCTATTAGTCTGCTGTGGAGATCAAATTATATTTCTCAGTGGCTTTTGATACTGTTGACACTGGTATCCTTTTGGCCCAGCTTTGAGTCTTGGGGGTGGGAGGCACCGTTTTATGGCAACTGTCCTTCTTTCTCTGTGGCTGGTTCCAATCAGTGTGGTGGATAGGGAGAGATCACATCCACAGTCCCTCACCTGTGGCATGCCACAGGGTTCAAATCTCTTTCCCCTTCTGTTTAACGTCTACATGAAACTTCTGGGTGAGGTCATCTGTCAGTTTGGGGTCAGGTATGAGCAGTTTGCTGAAGATCTCCAGTTGTACATCTCGATCCCAGCCTGACAGAGTAATGCCATCAAATTCCTAGTCCAATGCCTGGAGGCTATGCAGGTTTGGATGGGGAGAAACAGACCCAGGCTCAATCCTGGGAAGGCTGAGTGGCTGTGTCTGTTTGAACTCCCTGGTTCCAGCAATATTCCAGCATTAACTCTTAATCAGATAGCACTTCCTCATTCAAGACCTGTGCACAATTTGGGGGTCTCTTGGACTCTCAGCTCCTGCTTGGTGAGCAGATGGCAAGGTGGCCAAGAGGCCCTCTGCACAGGTGCATCTGGTGCACCACTTCCATCTTTTCCTGGATGGGCTTTTCAGACAATCCCTCATACCCTTGTCACCTTATGATTGGATTATTGTAATGCATTAAACATGGGGCTGCCCTTGAAGACCATCTAGAAGCTACATCTGGTCCAGAATGCAGCTGCATAGGCAGTAATGGGAGGTACACATCATGTTCATGTGATCCCATAGCTTCACCAGCTGTACTGGTTATCAGTTAGCTTCGGGGGCAGTTCAAGCTGCTGGTTATCACCTTTAAAGCCTTTCATGGCATAGAGTCTGGCTATCTGAGGGATTGCTTTTCTCCAATTATTTCTGTCTGTTCAATGGAGTCAAGCAGGATGGGTGCACTCTGGGTTTCCCTAATCAAACAGTGTCATCTTGCAGGACCCAGGAAGTGTGCCTATCTGGTTGCAGTGGTTGCCTTTTGGAATGATATTCCCCAAAAGGTTTGTGTAGCTTCCATCCTTATAACATTCAAGAGATTACTAAAACTTGGTTGTTTTCTCAGGTCTTAGAATAGGGTGGTTGTGGAGCCACTTTTAATTTAATTTGGTTTCATCTGGTTTAAGATTGGAAGTTTGTTCTTCTGGTCAGCCATCTTTTTTCTTTACATTTGTTTATTTATTTATCTGTAAATTGGCCAGATTTGTCAAGATTTGGGCTGACTTGAAATTGGATTATATAAATAAATAAAATAAATCCCACCCAAATTTCCCCAAATTGTAATTTTTAATACAATTAAAGAATAAAAATATAATATGAATGAGAAATAATCATATTCACTATTTGTGATTTTATATAATTTAAATAGAATTTAAATTGAAATTGAGTGGGTGCTCTGGTTCTACCTTTACCATGCTATTCAAAATCAAATACATTCCTTGCCCCCAGAGTGGTGGTGAAATTTTACTGTATACAAAACTTTATATATGCTTTATTCATATAAAAAAATAGTCACGGCACTGTGAAAAAGACCCTTAGATACATGTAATTTCCCTTACAAAACCCTGCTCCTTGTTAAAAAAGAGATGAGAATGTGCAAAATAATTTTGATTATTCAAACATACATTTCATTCTATCCAAAACTATTTTTTGTTAAAGAAGGAATTTGCTTCTTATCTGTTTTTTGTTCTACCCACTCCATGTTCATCATCATAGGAAGTTATAACGCAATGCTGGCAGCGTCTGAAAACTTAATCTCAGATGAGGAAAGGTTTCACAATGAGAGGCTGATGCATGTATGGCCAATGTCAAATAGCTAGTTAAGTGTTCACTATCTTCTGAGCAACTGCAGCATATTTTAGTAGATTCATATTTATTGGATACACCTTCCTGTTGATTAAGCTGAAAGTCAGCCACCTAATTTAATTAATGAAGGTTGCATAGGGTTGGACCAGAGGAAGCTTCCTGCATCTCAGAAGTGCATTCCTGTGTATGTTTGTATAGGAGGGAGTACTTTCAAGTTTAAAGGGGTGAATTTTCAGATTTGCATGTGTAAGTTTGGAAGCTGAGGGATTTTTATCAAGTGTGCCAGGTTATTATAAACCTGAGCAGTGGGAATGTATCTAGCTGAACTTGCTTTGCTGTAGTTATCACCAAAGGCTATCAGATGAAGGTGACATGCATACATACATATGCACAAAGTCACCTTCATCTGATAGCCTTAGACGAGAAAGAGAGACAGACAGACAGACAGAGAGACTGAGAGGCCTACTGCTTTCCAAAAATGGAGAAGATTACCCAAAGAAAGAAATTTAAATGTTGCATCTGTAATCCTCCTTATCTGTGTGTTTATGTCCCTCCAGAAGGAGCTTTCCTGCATAGGATCTTCCTTAGAGCAGATTTGACCTCTTGATTCCTCAAAGTGTAGATCAACGGGTTTAAAACTGGAGTGAAAACACTATACAATAGAGTGATGCTCATCTCCCTTTCAGAAGATTCAGCAGCAGATCTAAGCATGTAGTTGAAAATAACAGGGATGTACAGAAGAGCCACAACTGTCAGGTGGGAAGCACAGGTGGAGAAAGCTTTCCAACGGATTTGCCATGACCCAGTTTTAAAAAAGAGGAATGAGATAATGTAAAGGTAGGACAAGAGAGTAAGGAAGAAGGAAGCCAGAGCAATACCACTAGTGACAACATTAAGAAGTGTGAGGTTTAGGAGTGTGCTGCTGCAAGCCAACATGAGGAGAGGTTTGATGTCACAAAAAAAGTGCTGGATAACATTAGGGCCACAAAACCATAGCTGAGAAGTCACAATTGTGTGCATCAGGGCATGAAAGAAGCCAGTGGCCCAAGTGGCCCCAGCTAGCATAACACAAGTCCATTTGTTCATGATAATGGTATAACGCAAAGGATTACAGATAGCTACATAACGGTCAAATGCCATGACACCCAGTAGCATACCCTCACTGCTACCTAAGAAGTGAAAGAAATGAAGCTGAGTGAGGCAGCCAATAAAGGAAATTGTTTGTTGCCCTGTTACAAACCCATTCAACATTTTTGGCACAGTCACTGTGGAGCAACATATATCCAAAAATGATAGATGCCCTAGGAAAAAATACATGGGAGTGTGGAGCCGTGGCTCAATGAGGGCAACTATCAAGATGGCCCCATTTCCCAGCAAGCAGGCCTGGTACATCAGTAGGAAAACTGTGAAGAGAATGCGTTGCTGACTGTGGTCATTTGTTAGGCCTAGGAGAATGAATTCAGGCACCTCTGTCCAGTTCTCCATTTCTGTACAAATAGAAAACAAGCATGAATATTGGACAGTGGTTCCACAGCAGAATGGGACTTAAAAAAAAAAAAAAACAGACTGTGTTTTGATGGATATGAAGCTTTGAAATTCTTTCCATTCTCTTTTTAAATTATTAATAATAAAATATTGGCAATATGCATATAGAGTTATCTTCAACCAGTGTAAATAGAATGCTGCCGTTAAAGAGAATTGAAATCATGGCTAAGTAAGGGAAAAGCTGATTTGTAAACTGGATGAATACCTGAGAAATGCTGTTGTTGATAGACTAAGTACAAGTTTAACTTCCAAGCAGGTACCAACCTGACTCAGTTTGTCTGAACTAGTAAGCCAAGCAATGTCAGCCCTGGCTGGTATGGGACAGAGACCTCCAGGGAATACCAATGGTGTAGGTAGACTGGAAAGTCAAAAACGTCTCTTGGGAGAAGGCCATGGCAATCCACTTCCATACCGTTGCCAAGAAAACTTTCCATGAATTTACCACAAGTTGAGCTAAACTCTGAAATAAGCAAGGAAACAAAAGTTGACCTTATCCTCAGTGCAAGTTCTCTTCTTATCTAATATTTATACTATTTCCAATTAAAAAGACCAAAAAGAAGAAAAAAGACCTGAGAAGCTCCATCATGTTTTAAGACTCCACAATTCCAATGGATTTCAACTATTCTCTTGGTGTCATTTTTTGTCTTCTTTAACTGTATGTCCTTTGCTCTATGATCCTCCATATGATTTTTTAAAATTAATTAATTAATTTACTTACTTACTTACTTACTTACTTATTTAGTGCCTTCAAATCAATGTTGACTCAACTGCCTGGGCAAGTTCCCTGAAGTTTTCTTGGCAAGGTTTTTCAGAAGTGGTTTGCCATTGCCTCCTTCCCAGGG